GATGGGATGTATGATATTTAATTTTATTTATTTCACTGAGGCAAATAGAAGAATAAAGCTGTCTTTTGTATGCTGCTTCTTAGCAGTATCAAAGACAAAACCATTAGACAGTCCTACTTCCAAATGTTAATTCTACTGTAGAAGACACTTCTAAACAAAATGTATACAGAAAACCTCAATTACAAACATTTATTAAACTAGCCGTCTTGTCCTGAGGGCAGGTCCCCATGAAATTCAAAGTTCTATCCTAAGCAACCTCACATTTATGAACTGTTCATATTATCATAATAAGAATAAGTATATGTACATGTTTTTTAAGAGATTTCCCAAAAGAGGGTTGAAAATATTTCTATTTTAACCATTTTCCATCTTTTAAAAAATCTTATAAGTTCATGTATATGTAAACTCATTTAAAAGGTCTAGAAACATATAAGCCATATACTAAGTTGTCTAGGTGGTAGGATTGGCTATGGTTTTTCTAATTTTTTATACTTTTATGAATTTCATTTTGTCTAAACGTTTATTTAAAAAACTAAATATGAGTTAATTTTATCAGCAGAGAAAGGAGATATACTCTGGCTTATCAAAAAAAAAGGAAAAACCTTTAAAAGATTAAATTAAACAAACCGGACCATCTCCCCTGGACATTATGTTTGTGCACCCAAAAGCAGAAGGTGGAAGGTGAGGGTGTTTTTGACAACACAGGGAGGGACACACCCAGGCCTATCTCTATTGTACAGGGCTTACTTGCAAAGTCTCCCCTGTTCAGGATCAATGGAAAATTACTTGGCATTTGTCCTTCTGAATATGGCAGCAACATGAATACTGTCTTATTTTCCAAAGCTCAGTTCAGTGATTTGTGTACCTTCCTTGCCATAATCAATGGATCTTGAAAAGCTTTGATTAAAACTACAAAATAACTAGCTTCCGAGTAGTTATTGGTAATTTATTCTATGTAAGCGCAGAACAATAAAAAAACACTTGGGGCTCTCAAAAACATTGTGATGCTTTTGAACATCAGTCACTTATTTTCATACTTGCTGTCACTATCTCAGCCAAGGTCCTCATCTCTTCCCATCTAGGTTGTTGCAAGAGCTTCCTGTTTTCAATCTATTTGGCATAACATTTCCAAATGAATCTTTCTAAAGCTCAGTGTTCATATAGATGGTGCTGATTAAAGACATTGATTGTGCACCCATTATCTAGAGAATGAAAACCAGACATCATTTGTGTGCTATACTCATAAACTAATTCTAACCTGTTTTATTATTTTAATCTTCTGCACTTCCCCCATTCCATCCTGTCACTCCAATCAGTCAGAGCTACTCCTCTGAATGTATTATATACTATTATGCATCAATTCTTTGGCTCATGCTGTTTTGCATTTATTTTATCACTCTGAAACGTCTTTCCCTCAGTCTACCCAAGTCCTCCCAGTTCTCTGAGTACAGCCCTTGGAGACTGTCAAGGAGAGAAGCTTGGCATGTGCCCAGGAGATGCTGCTCAAAAAATGAGGTGCCAGTTATTTCAAGAGAGGAGCCAATGAGAAGAAGGGCATTACCGGGAGGACACTCCAAAATCAATATCGGACGAAGGCAATTCTTGACTTGCAGTTAAAGTGGGAGGATTAAGAACTCTGAGATTTGATAAAAATGACTTGCCAAATCAGACATTCTAAGTAAGTCAGAAAGCAAATGTGAGAGTTTAATTCGTGGATGAAAAAAAAATTAAATGAGGCATCACTTTGTCATCAGAAGGGCCAGTTCAAGGGTACTGTTATAATATGCACCCTTTAGAGCTGTCCCGTTCTTGTGGTTTGGCATCCTTTGCAGGACTGGGGGATACTCACTGGACACCTGATTCTTCTTGGCCTACTTTAATCCAATCTCCTCTATACTATAAAACTTTTTCAGGTAACTTCAGCATATGGGTGTCATAGCCGCCTCTGACTTCACAGCATCTGTTATCTCTAGGCTTCATTTCGCAATGGATGATATGATTTCCCTATGATTTTGTTGTGAATTTTTGTACTATAATTTATAAACATGTACATTTTTATTTCACTTCCTACAGTTGTGTCTAATATGACTTTTAATTAGATTGTGAAACTAAAACATTTTTCAGTATGGAGATTTATCTCTTTAACCTATATCTCCCTATTAATCTAACATAAAAATATACTCTTTATGGCCATCAAAAATGTTTATCATTTATATTTATTTTTATTTTAAAATTTCTCTTACAATCATTCCCAACAAAAGCAGTATTTATTGCATGACCAGAAATATGTTAATTCACTCTTCTCTTTAACTAGGCCTAAAATCTATGCTGACAGTTCCATCTGTGAAACCATCTCTGAAACTGTCAAAAATTACACCAAAGTGCTCATTCGGAAATAATTATATGGAATAAATTCCATAAATAATATATATACAGTTCAGAGTTAGATTCAAGAAAGCATATATTTGAATTTGGATAATTTGGTTATGAATAATAAAAATCAACTCTGACTTGCTTAAGCAGAAAATAATGTACTGCAAGAATATTCTGTAGTTCAAAATTCATGGGAAGAGTTAAGAAGACAACTCAGAAAAAAAGATAAGAACAAGGCTGTAAAGATTACAAGTAGCAGACCCATTTGAGTTCCACTATCCAGTTGAACAGGGCTCAGACCACTTTTTTCCTTGTATTCACTCTGCTCAAGTTCTTAGTCTTGGGAGAGAAAAAAAAAAAAATCAAGATGGCTTCACCTGAGTCATTTCCTCTTCTCAGCCAGCAGAGAGCAAGACATCTTAACTATACAAAAATGAGGAGAAATGATTTTCCCAAAGTAAATCTGGTACTCACCAAAAGGGGAATAATGGAAACATGGCTTCTGAAGAAAACACAACAGGAAAAGCTGATGTAAATTATAGTCCAATGCATGTATCTGTGAGGTTTTATAGCTCAAGGTTCATTCTGGTGAATGAATGCTATCATCAGTTTAGAAATAAAGCAGGTGGAATGACTATGCTGGGGCTTTAAGGCAAATGTAGGCAGCTCCATGTAGGCAGTATGGATATGAGCTTTTGGGCAGAAGACACAATCAAGTCAATTATGAATGCCAAGTGGGCAGTTTGCCAGGTGAGGATGCCTTCAGGATCCAAACCTCACTGTCTACTTGGACTATCCTCTGAGATCACATTGGTAATTATTCCTACTGGTTCACATTGAATGGGACCTCTGTATGGGAAAGAGAAGTGTTTTACAGTGCAGGTGGGAAAAGACATACTTTACCTAACATAAATTCCTAAACCCCAGAGTTGGTGAAACGAAGTGGCATATGGTTTCAGAAATGTACTCAAGGATACAGGCACTGGGTGAGATAAAGCTGCCCAGTTATGCATCAGGCATCTCTAAGCAAAGGATAGGTTCTTAAAAATGCTTCTTTCTAAAATTCAGTATCTGGATATACTAACAAATCTAAAAAGCATTTGCCAACTGACTTTACTTTGGGAAAAGAATAATACTGTAAGACTAAGATTAAATAGAGCAGAGTTGATCATATAAAGTTTTTAAAAAGAATAATTTATGTACAGTATGTATTTCTCATGCTTGCATTACATTTTCACTGATTCTGTTTTTTTAAAGAATAGTAAGTATGAAGCTTACTCTGGAAGAAAATTCAAATTAGTCTATTCTTAGCAGTGGGGCCCAAAGTTCTCATGACTTCTTGGAGACAGAGAAATGTTGTTGAGAAAGTATGATTTTTTTTAGAGTGAGGAGAGCCAGTCTCCATATATACATATTTTAAAGAATGATTATGGTTGCATATGCTGTTCAGAACTGAGCAAGATATTTTATCTTACTAATGAGTATAATAAACCCAGGCCAAAAAATTTAAGATGACTAGAACATGAAGTGCAGACTGAAAATATCAGTACATATTTTTTCTTTGTAGGGGAAACAGAGTCAGGAAACAGTGAGTATGTTCTCAATTTTTTTAAATAAACACAAGAAACAAGAAGACAGTAAGTAAGTCCCATTTTAATAGGTAAGTATGGTACTTCAGTTAGAGAACAGACATCATTAGACTGGTTGATCAGAAATCTTTAAATCCCTTACTAAATATATGGAACTTGACTTCTAAAAATGATATTTGTATCTGTTAATTTCTTGTTAGGAAGTGATTAAATGTATGAAGTTGTTTTACTTTGTGGAGCAAAGGGACTAAAGAAAAAGACTAGGAAGTTTTAATTTTTATGATACTCCAAGGATTAAATAGAAAGATGGATCCATATCTGTCTTTTCTTCCTACCAAATAGCTGTGAGGAAATTTAACAGTTATGTTCTACTGCAAAGTGAAGCTCACTACAGTCAGAGTACACTAAAGAAAAGTAGAAATACAAAGCAATTAAGACATCTGAACATTATGCCTTCTCCAAAACAGCTACATTTAAATGCTTCATTCAGTGCACACAGAACATGTCCAATATCTTATACTTATTTCCCCTACATAAAGACAGCATTGGAGACTCAACACAAAAACATTGGTAAGAACATTTTTACATGTCCCAAAATCACTGTTTAACATGAATATTGCCGTCAGCAGACATTAAAGCCATCAAAACCAATTTAAACATGGCCACGAAGTTGTAACGTTGTACTAAAGGGCACATCACTAAAGTGTCTTAATTCCATCTGCAGACATTAAACCAATATGAAAGCTAGTAATATTACTGACTCTCTATAGAGCACGTCCTTGCACAGGAAAATACAGGAAACATTATAAAGAAGTTCTATAATGATGGTTTCACAATAAAAAATTCTTTCTACTAAGGAGAATGTTGTTATAGCAAATTTCCAAAGCAATGAACTAGGAAATATATAATTCTACTTTATATTACTTTTAGAGGTGCATAAAGGTTATCTGTGTGTTGGGAGGGTGGCAAGTAAATAAGTTAGAAGAAACTAAAATGTTAATGTAGCTTCCAAAGCAATTAATAATTATTATTACTCACCTGAATTCATGTTTCCTGGAAGTGCTTCCCAGAGACAACAGTCCCTCTGACTTCTTTGTCACTGGTGGCTCGAGTCCCTATTTCATGCAGATATTCCAAATCCTAGGCAGGGACCATCATTCAGCCATAGTTGTCACTACCTCTTGATTTACTGTCTGATGAGGTCACGTTCCTGATAAAAACAGTGGGGGAAGAAAGCTCTTTTAGATCACGGTGGAGCAAACCACCTGATGAAATTGCTTTAGGGAAACTCAATCTTATTTTATAGAGAAATATATCAAGTATTTTCCCCCAAGAAAACACTAATCGGGATTATCTCCACTTGACGACTTCCGCTAGACGTAGAAAACACTGACCACAAAATGTAAAAGTACTAATGTATTTTGAAATTCCAGAAAGATTTGCATATGCATTTTAAAAAGGTTATCAAGAAGCAAAACAATATGAGAGTTTTAGGCAGTGAACAGTTAGTTCTTCCCAAGGGCCTTCTTATCACTTAAATCCTTCCCCAAATAAGTGGCTGATTATTATTTAGTTCTGTAATGCAGCACTCTTCTTAATGAAGTATTTCATTAGCTTTTCTTTATCTTTCACTGGATTCAGATTAAAGCTGTGTGAGGTTTCAGAATAACATTTCTAAGACGAAAGAGCTTTAAAAGGAACTTGCAAAATACCAGCGCTGCCCTAATCAATAGAGACAATTATACATTCAGCGGCTCCTGCACGCAGAGCACTGTTCCAGGTGCTGAACAAAACTCAAATGCCTGCCTGCCCAGAGCATACATTCTAGTGTCTGTATGCTGAGTGAGGAAGCAAAAGGCATGTCCAAGTATTTAAAAAGCTAAACAAATAAATGAGCAAGATAATTTCAGATAGTTCTAGGATGAAAGGAAGTTAGGGTGCTGTAAAAAGAAATGATCATAAGGAACAGGGTGGGAGAGGGTTAACTTGGATTGGTTTTCTAGGGAAACACCTTGCTGAGGATGTCACACCTTATGTAAGGCTAAAATAACCAGAAAAATGAGTCATTTCAAGACCTAGAGTCATAACATTCCAGACAAAAGGAACAGTATGTGAAAATCTTTTCAGGTGGGAATGAATGCCACCCATTGGAAGAAAGAAAATCTGGTGTGAATGGGAGGAAATAAGATCAGAGGCAAGCGAGGGCTACATTACATGGGCTTTGATAAGGGGTTTGAGTTATCTTCTAGACATAGTAAGCAGTGCAACGGCATACTTTAATTTACTTTTTAAAAAAAATTTCAGCTTTTATTTTGAATACAGGTATACAAATGTAGGTTTGTTACATGGGTATATTGCATTCAAGTAACGAGCATAATATCCAATAGGTACTTTTCAATCCATGTTCCCTCTCCCCACTCCACTAGTCTACTCTGTCTATTGTTCCCGTGTTTATGTCCATGTGTGCTCAAAGTTTAGCTCTAACTTATAAGGGAGAACATGCCATATTTGGTTTTCTGCTCCTACGTTAATTTGCATAGACTCATGACTTCTAGCTCCATCTATGTTGTTTCAAAGGAAATTAGTTCATTATTTTTTATGTGCCCATGTACCACATTTTCTTAATCCAGTCCACCACTGATGGACGCCTAGGTTGATTCCATGTCTTTGCTATTATAAATAGTGTGGTGATGAACATGAGTGCATGTACCTATAGTAATGTAATGATCTATTTTCCTTTGGGTATATACTCAGCAATGGGATTTCAGAGTCAAATGATAGCTCTATTTTAAGTTCTTTGAGAAATCTCTGAACTGCTTTTCACAGTGGCTGAACTAATTTACATTCCCATCAACAGTGTATAAGCATTCCCTTTTCTGCACAAATTCACCAGCATCTGTTGTTTCTTGACTTTTTAATAATAGCCATTCTGACTGGTGTGAGGTGGTATCTCATTGTGGTTTTGATTTGCATTTCTCTGATGATTATTGTTGATGAGCGTTTTTTCATATGTTTATTGGCTGCTTACCTATCCTCTCTTGAGAAGAGTCTGTTCATCTACTTTGCTCACTTTTTAATGGGGTTACTTTTTGCCTGTTGATTTATTTAAGTTCCTTATAGATTCTGGATATTAGACCTTGGTCTGATGCAGTTTGTGGCTATTTTCTCTCATTCTATAGGTTGTTTTTTTATTCTTTTGGTAGTTTCTTTTGCTGTGCAGAAACTCTTTAATTAGGTCCTATTTGTCAAGTGTTGTTTTTCTTGCAATTGCTTTTGTGAGCTTAATCATAAATTGTTCACCAAGGTTGATGTCAAGAAGGGCATTTTCTAGGTTTTCTTCTAGGATTTTCATAATTTTAGTCTTACATTTAAATCTTCAGCCCATATTGTGTTAATTTTTGTATGTCACGAAAGATAAGTGTCCAGTTTTGTTCTGCATATGACTAGCCAGTTATCCCAGCACCATTTATTGAATAAAGAGTATTTTTTCCCATTGCTTGCTCTCATTTTTGTTGGCCCTTGTTGAAGATCACATGGTTGTAGGTGTGTTGCTTTATTTCTGAGTTTTATATTCTGTTCCACTGGTCTATGTACCTGCTTTTGTACCAGTACCATGCTGTTTTCATTACTGACAGTAGCCTTATAGTATAGTTTGAAGTTGGCTAGAGTGATGCCTCTGGTTTATTCTTTTTGCTTTGGATTGCTTTGGCTAATTCGGCTCTTTTTTTGATTTGATATGAATTTTAGAGCAGTTATTTCCAACTATGTGAAGAATGACATTGGTAATTTGATAGAAGTAACACTGAGTTTTTAAATTTATTTAGGCAGTGTGGCCATTTTAACGATATTAATTTTTCTAATCCGTGAGTATGGAACATTTTGCCGTTTATTTGTGTCATCACTGATTTCTTTCAGCAGTGCTTTGTAGTTCTCCTTGTAGTGCTCTTACACCTCCTTGGCTAGCTGTCTTCCTAGGTATTTCAATTTCTTTGTGGCTATTATAAATGGGATTGTGTTCTTGATTTGACTCTCAGTCTATGTGTTATTGGGAAATAGAAATGCTACTGGTATTTGAACACTGATTTTGTAAACTGAAGCCCTGCTAAAATCATTTAGCAGTTCCAGTGGCCTTTTGGTGGAGTCTTTAGGGTTTTCTACATATAGAATCATTTTTCAGTAAAAAAAGATGATGATTTGAGATGTTTTTCATGTTTGGATGCCTTAATTTACACTTTTAATTAATTATTCTGATTGCCAGCTGGACTAGGAGCAGGGCAAGTGTAGAAGCAGGGATTGAAGTTAGGATGCTTTTCTTTAGGCAAAATTTGATAGGGATTTGTACTACAGTGTTAAAATGGAGGAAGACAGAGGTACTATGGCAGAGAGTTGAGACCAAAATTATATTTTGTAAATGAGAAAAATACCTATTTCATAAGTTTCTTTCAATACATTTCCATATTCAAATATTTATTGAATGTCTAATAAGTTCTGGTTTTGTACTTGAGAGATATCACAGTGAAAAACGAAAAGTCTTGTAAAAATATTTTAAAGTACATTAGAAAAAAATAATAGATCTAATATTTAAAAATAAAGAATGAAATATTTTCATTTGCTTTCTTTTAACAGTCTTTTAAATAAAGAATATACCTGCACTACAGGAAAAAAACAAAAATATGCAAGAAAAAAAAACCCAGAAATTAGAAATAATCAGTAAATTTAAGAAAGAAAACCACTGGTACTACTTTTCAACTGAGTCATTCCCATTTTTTCTCTTGCTTGTAACTAGTGTTTTCTTAATGATAATAAAGCCTGAAAAAAACGTATAGTTACGAAATGTTGGTATATGGTTGGAATTTAAACGATTTGGTAATTATTTCACCAAGTAGCAGTTAAAGGAGTATACCCCAGCCTTGGCCATGGCTGACTAGAAAGCAAAGCCTGAGGCCATCACAAAAGCAACAAATGAGAGGGAAATGTGAGGTGGGTTGGGGAAAAGATGAAACAAATTCAGGTGGTACATGAGAAGACTGGCCTGCTTCATGAAGAGACACATCCAAAAGGATGTCTTGGTCAAACTATACAATAACACCATGCTTTGGAACTGTCTGTAAGTGGAGGAAAAGGAGAAAAACCAACCTGCTTCTTCCCTCTTCCCTCCTGTCTACCCCTGGTAAACATTTTTTAATGGAAATTTGATGCTTTGCCCCACCTTGGGGCTGGGCCTACTGATGTTTTGGCAGTCTCAAAAGAGGCCAGATTTTACCTCTGTGGCCCAATTCTTCATAGAAGCCCAGGAGTGTGAGAAGAGCAAGAGATTTCCTGCAATGGTATCAATGTTCCGTCACCATCCTGTGTCAGTAGCAGGTGCAATAAAGAAGCAAGCAGCTGAGGTTTCATGGCACATGAGGCCAAGGAGACATGAGATGACTATAAGGGTCAATCATACAATACAGCCCTGAAGCCAACTACTTTAAGCATTTACTAACAAAACCTAAGGGTCTAGTTTCTTTCTGAGTCAACTTGGATGTTTTCTGTAAAAAAAATAAAATAAAATATGTTTTGTCCCTAAGAACAAAAATGCTTTAAAATTTGAAAATCTGGCCGGGCGCGGTGGCTCATGCCTATAATCCCAGCACTTTGGGAGGCCGAGGCGGGTGGATCACGAGGTCAAGAAATCAAGACCAACCTGGTCAACATGGTGAAACCCCGTCTCTACTAAAACTACAAAAAATTAGCTGGGCATGGTGGCACGTGCCTGTAATCCCAGCTACTCAGGAGGCTGAGGCAGGAGAATTGCCTGAACCCCGGAGGCGGGGGTTGGGGGGGGCAGAGAACGCGCCATTGCACCCCCGCCCGGGGAAAAAAAATGAAAACCTTTCTCCAAAAAAAAAAAAAAAAAAAAAAAAAATTTGAAAATCTGTCTATGGCACATATACATACAAATATACATACATATTCTATATAGAATGTGAATATAATATATTCTTAAAAATCTGGAAACAGTCTAACTTTTTTTTCCTAATAAGCAATTCTTTTTTTTTTTTAATAATTATTTATTTGCTTAGAGGCAGGCAGGCAGGCTTGCATTTATTTATTTATTTATTGTCTAATTATTATTATTTAACATAAAGACAGTGTTTCCTTTTTTGGGGGGGGGAATATTTATTTATTTGTTTATTTTCCCATTTATTTATTTTATTGCATTTTAGG